AATCGCATTATATGACCCCTTTAAAGTTTTGAAGCAACGTTATGTTGAGTACCTCTGTATATTTTAAAATGCATTTAACATCTTTTAGCAAAATCTGACAAAATGTGGCAGAATTACAGAAGTGAATTCCACACACAGTTGGAATTCCACACCTTTGGTTTTCACCCTTATCTGAGCAAATTCCATCCTTCATCTAATGCCAGGGTTCAGTATAGCAAACGTGTTCATTGAACTAGTGTGACACCTAGTGTTGGTTAAGTTGCCACACAGATTTTCTCTCAGTCTTTGAGAGAGTGAATAGGAAAATAATATAGGCTCATTTATAAATATTTAAAAGAGAATACCTCTGATAGTAAAGAGGAATCTTAAATAGTAAAAAATAGTAACGAGAATATCTATGTGCTTGTAGATAATTTTAACAGCAGACTTGTTCCTATTCTAAATTTATTTAGTTATGTTTTCATCTGAAACATTTAAAGTAAATCCTCGTTTTAAAGCTAATTCAGCGATTTTATTGATTATTTATTAAGGTTCTGCTTTTAATGCAGTTTGTATGTTTGTCTAGAGTACTATTTATGTATATAATACATAGTAGTATAATACATAACTGTACATGATGTATATAATGCATAGGTAGTACCTCAAAGTCCACTAAAGGAGGTAGAGCTTTTCGCATTTGGCTCCCAAACTCTGAAATTGATAACGTTCGGGGTTCAGACACCTTCTCTCTGTTTAAATCTAGATTAAAGACACATCTCTTTGGCCAAGCATTCAAATAATGCATCTCATAATCTTGTACTGCAGTTATATCTGATCAAATGCACATTATTATTCTTTAGCTTGGGTTAAACAAATCAATTTTGCTTGGTTGGAACAGCAGCTACACTAATTATGTCTCCATTGACATCCCGTGGTAGCTAGGATTTACACAAGCTTCAGTCTGGATCCAGAACACCTGAGAAGAGATGATGCCAACCCCTCAGAGGACCTCAGATGATGCCAACCCTGAAACAACATACAGAACTACCACATTTTGCTATAAGTTTGATTGCATCATATAATAATTGCTGTTAATAGTGTTCATCGTCTGTTTGATTGTCTTTAATTGATTTTTCCGTACATTTCTGCCATATGTACATTAACTGACAGTCACCACTGATAAGCTACCACTAAATATTGTAGAAACGTAATTTGCTGTAAAGTTGCTTTGCAACGATTTGTATTGTGAAAAGCACTATACAAATAAACTTGAATTGAATTTAATATAATAGAGTGTATAGAGGTCAACATTATGAGCTCTGTAACTTAAGAGCAGTGACAATTCTTATGTTGTCATTTATTTGAAAGGAAATATTAATTTGTTCAAAGGAAATAATGTATTAATTAAAATGATACAAATAAATAGATTATCTGCACAAGTACAGTACACTTAATATGATAGCCTATAACTGACAGGTTGGAAATAGTAAATTTATGGACCCGGAACTTACATGATGGTCAATTCGTGTCATTTTAACTATATTTAGAAAATTATCTTATCATACCAATTTCTTTAATTTGATCAGACAGATGTAATATTTTAGATTCAAACAAACCACCTACCACAACACATCACATAATTCATCAAATCCAAGGCTTCTGCTGTACTTTTCCCACCAAAATGATGATTTGTTTCATGTTGGAACTAATGGCGCTTTTCCACTGCATGGTATGGCACGGTACGGCTCGGTACGGTTCACTTTTGGGGGGTTTTCCACTGGGTACAGTACCTGGTACTTTTTTAGTGCCACCTCGGTTGAGGTTCCAAGTGAACCGTACCGTTACCAAAACGTGACGTGTAAACTCTGCTGATCACAGATTGGCCGGAGAGACACAAACACAACAGAACCGCTAGATCTAAATCAGCACAGCCAGCGAAGGATCGAACGCAACTGTTTTGAATGAGCGCACCTTTTTTAACAACCAAAAAGTGGCTGTTTCGTTGTCTGTTGAGGAAGTACAGACGCTGCTCTCGTTGATAGCAGAGGAGCGGATCCAGCGAGAGCTTGATGGGGCGACGCGGAATGAAAAAGTTTTTCAGGAGTCGCGGCAATAGAGGCGGCGCAACTATAACGACATGTGAATAATCCCGCCCACTCTAAAGCGGTACTGAACTGCAGTGGAAACGCAAACCGAGCCGAGCCGTGCCGTGTCATACCGTACTGAGCGATGCCCAGCCGAGTCGTACCACGCAGTGGAAAAGCGCCATAAATGTATAGTCGGCCTACCTGCCGACAGAGAATTAAAATTATATGTAAAATTCGCCTCATTGTTGAGGTAGCTGTGAAATGTTTAGAAAACCTTTTATTTGAAGCTGCAGTCCGTACGTTTTGCCTCTTTGTCGCCATCTCTGTTTAAAAACCTGTAATTGCAACTGTTTACAGAATTATCTTTCTTGCGTGGGTTGTGCTGCGGCACGGTTCCAGCGGGGATGAATCTAATGTTTTGAGGTGAATGTGTGGCAGTCAGTCACCGCACCAGTGTGGATATTTACTGTACTTCGCAATCACAGATTCAAGCCTACGTCTTGGAATATATATATATATATATATATATATATGACCCAAATAAGAATTTTCACCGGAGTGTTCACAAGTGTGCCACGTTTGTTCTGACCAACTGAAGAAAAAAACATTACAATAAATTGCGCTACAATGGTGATTTAATATAAATTTGCTCATATCATGATCAAACCGTGCAAATTATTATTATTGTTATAATTTATTTTCAAATTGTTAATGTTAACAACATCAGCATTACATGACTATGTGAATATTGTGTGTATTAGCGAGTGGATTTCAATTTTTGTACAGTCTAATCTCTAATTGTCATACCATTCGAATTTCATATTAAGAAATTCATTTTAACCCAAAAAGCAAATTATGCTCCCTTCGAACTGGTTGTCTTTAAAATACAAATCGTGTGTAATCCCAGGCTATCTGTAATCAGAAGCACATTTAAAACTGGAATATAATTTAATTTCATTCACATGTGTTTCATAAACACATAATCCTTTCTGGATTACAATCCGCCATCAAAATGATACATTGAATTATTCTAGCTGCAGTGAGAAAAGGCTATAAACGATCCGCCACCTGCAGGATCCTCACATGTGATAGCCTAGTAGCTGGGACAACTTCTTTATGTTTACAGACGTGACGTAATGACGCAGCGGCATGATCGCATTTCCCGCGAAAACCTACCCGTACCACTCAAATTAGAAAACATTATTATAAGCTGACCGTTGTGAATCGGG